TCAACTGGGGAGTTGCCTCCATTGCACTGGCCTGTGGTCATGTCTTTTGGGTATTTTCTTGATTGTTGAGTGATGTGGGAGGGTCCAGCCTACTGTGGACAGTGCCACCCCTGGGCAGGTTGTTCTACATTGTATAAGAAAGCAGGTTGAGCATGGGCCGGGCAACCAAGCCAGTAAGCAGCATTCTTCCATGGCCTGTGCTCCAGCTCCTGCCTCCAGGTTCCTGCCCTGAGTTCTACCTTGGGCTCCCTGATGAATTGTGACCTGGGAGATGTAAGCCAAATAAATCCTTTCCTCCCCAAGTGGGTATTAGAATATTTTGTCACAGCAATGGAGAAACAAACTAGAACAACACCCTAGAGGGCTAGAGAGACGGCTCAGAAGAGTACTGGCTGCTCTTCCAGAGGATTCTGGTTGGTGGTGGCTCACAACCATCGTAATTCCAGTTCCTGGGGATTCAATGCCTTCTTCTTAACCTCCACATGCATTGCACACCCATGTTGCACTTACATACATGCAGGCAATACACACTCATACACCTAAAATAAAAATAAATACATAACTTTCTTAATAAATACCCTAAATCTTTTTGTAACCTTGACACTGCACAGTTTGGGGACAGACACACTGCGTGTTCACTGACCAGCTGGGTAAAGATCGGATGCTGGAAGGACAAATTTCCTCTTTAGAGGTTTTAAGCCCAAAGATTTCTTTGCCTGAAACCACTGTGACCAGAACAAGCTTTTCAAGGATTTTCAGAATACTAGGGTATTAGAGGCCCTGATACAACAGCCACGAAGGCCAAGCAGGTAACACAAATGTCTAGTCAGGGGACAGGAGTTATGAGACTAAACTAGAAAATACTTGACTAAAAGTTTCCTAAGCTCAGATGTGAGGAGGAAAAATAACGTCTTCAGACAAGCATCATACTGACCATCAAGGCAGTGGCAGTCTATAAACAGAAATAGCTACCACCAGAGCCCTCTCTGTTGGTATTCATCTCCCCAAGCAAGGAGAATGCTGTAAGGTGGGCAGGAACACCTCTGGAAACTCGAGTTATGTATAGCGCTCCATAAATGAGCCACATTAGTATGCCTCCATGGGGGGCAGTGTTTACTGTTGTTGCCCACACAACAAACTGTCAGTTTCTTTCTTCCTCCCATAGTATTATTCAAAGATGCTGTCGCTTTGCTTTCCCTGCCACATCAGCCATCATCACTACATCTCATATTGTTGTTCTCTGTTCACCTCTTGCCTACAAAGTCAAAGCTCTCCACTTCTAAGAATAACTATGCTATGTCCTCCATAAATTCCTATTTCTCAGGTACATTTCTGGGTCAGGTGGTGAGCAGGTGAAGGATGCTCTGTCCCAGCCACCCTTTCTCACAAGTTTCCCTGTGTGCCAAAGCACTCAAGTTTTCTGAGCATGTGCGACCATACAGTCACAAAAGAGTTGAGCCAACAGGTTGGTGTGGGAGCCCTAGAGGAAGTGAAGAGAGTGGGAAATAGATACAGCCTGTGAACACAGCGCCTGTAGGTCCATAACACTGATAGAGGACCACACACTCCCGTCTACAGAATGAACCAGAACAAGAATGTCCTTTTGGAACAAAGGGCTTTGTGATGCAGTGTGGTGTTCTGATTCTATCCTCTGTGAGACAGAAATGACAAGGCCCAGTACTGAATGTCATTAGGCAATTAGGACACTGAATAACAGATAACTGGTCTCCTCATGTGAGATTCAGGCCATGCTGAACTCTGAGTGTTTTCTGTGGGATATTGAATATCCTTTCTATGCCTATAGCTTCATTTTCATCACTATCCTACTTGCCTGGCAAGTAACACGGACTTACCAACAACTGAAGTTGGAACCAAAAAGAAGCTGCTGCCGGGTAGGAAAACGCTTAACTACAGTGGAACTAATTTAAGCCTTAGATGAGAAACTTTCAAGTTCTAAGTGTTTCTCCAGATTATGCTCATTTTTATACCACAGGATTTAGGAAAGAAAGTATTTACAAAAGAAAAGTACTATGTAGTTTTCATCTTAGAATTATCATTCCCTAGCGCCCCTACACACACAATGTGCTCTAACTGAAAAGCCAGTGGCCTCCCTATTTGTCTTGAGTTGAGAATGAGATGATATAAAAGCTACTTCACTGGGTCTCAGAAGACCTTCCCAATGTGGGGTTTTTCTGTTGGAAGACTTTGTAAGCAGAAACCTTGGGCTGACAGAAATTATCTTTTAGTCTGTTCAGCTTTTGGCCTATTTCATCACTGCAGAACCTGTTGAGAGTAAGGACACAAGGCAGGAGACGGAGAGCCTAGAGTGAATCAGAAGTGAGCAGAGAAGGGATATGTTCTGGAGGAAAAGGAGGAGTATAGGGAAAGGCAATGGACAGCAGCGTATAAAATATAGGCAGATATATAACAGAAAGGGAGACAGGTATCTTTCACTTTGGACATGAAAACAATGGAGTCTTTGCTTCACATTGTAATATTTTTCTCTTTCAGCATCACCGAAAAGTCAGGCAAAGGGCTAGAGATGCAGCATCAACAGGTAAAGTCCCAATATCTCCACCGACTCCAACCCCTGGGAGAGTTCCCATTGCACCTGCCCCTCTATCAGCCCTGGTGCCAGGTGCTCTAATCACTCAAAGGCTACAATTGTACAAACTTGTGACTTCCACAGAAGATTGTTGTGGGTGGGAAATCAGAACATGGAAAAGTTCCGAACTGCTCTACCTTATTCTCCCCACAATAAACAACTGAGGAAGTAATGTAGATTACTGTACTTCTATCATTTAAAGTGTGTTAGTTACTCTTATCATTGTAACAGCGTACCTAACAGAAACAGCTTAAAGGAAGAAGGGTCTATTTGGGCTCATAGTGTCAGACGTTATCAGTTCATCATGGTAGGGAAGGCATAGTGAAGAAGTCACTTGTCACATAGTAGCAAGAGTTTGCCCACAGCTTGTTCAAATCTTGATGGATCAGAAAACAGAGTTCAAGCAGAACTGAAGGTGGGCTGATATCAAAGGCCCATTCCTATTGGCTCTGTCACCTGCAGCACATGTAGGCTCTCTCTAGGACTGGCTACACTCAGTAATTGCAGCATGACTTGGCAGACTGTCCACATTTCTGGCATTTCTACCACCCTAAAGTCTCCATTAATACTTGGGCCTCACTTTCACAGTTTCACACCCAGGAGCTCCAGTCAACATGCCTTCCGTGCCATGACAAACTAGAACTGTGAGCCAAAACAAACTATCTTAAGGTGCTTCTATAAGGTATTTTGTCAGAGAAAAGCTAAGAAGTAAGTTTTACGACCCTGTAAAATCATACTCTTTAGTCATTCATAAAACAGACATAACATTGATGATCCTCACTCACATGGTTGTGAAGACCAAATGAAATTAGGCAGGGGACAGCACACTGTAAATGGTGATACTATATACAACGTGCCTTAGAGCACCGAGTCTGGGCTCTCAGACTCTCCTTGCTGAGCCAAAGGCTCTATTATTCAGCTTCCTATAGGGCACCCCTGAAATGCTCCTATGCCTCATAACACTGCGTCCTGATTCCTCAGCTAGGAGACTCTGCCAAGAAGAAGCTGAGAAGCCGAGGGAGCTGCTCTCTATCATGAAAAGGTGACTTCTTGCTCTTTGTAATCTCCAAACTCCCAGCCTGGCCTGTGATGGCTTCTTGACCTTGTCTGGGCCAGGGGTGAGGAAAGGCATAACAGCTGGGAGAGACGTGCTGTGGAGACAGGTTCACTAGCTGAGAGGGCTTGTGTCTCTTAGGAGGGAAGGGCCACCCAATTATTCTACATGTTAGGGTTCCAATAGTTCTGCAATTCAGAATTAACTAGTACATGATTTGTGAAAGACATTACTGGAGTTGCACTCAGACATGAGACGAACTGTCCAGTCAAGAGAGTGGATGTGACATAAAGAAGCCATCACTGTCGTATCCTCTTACAATTACCTCCTTTCAAGGGCAGAGCCCTGGGTCTGGCTGGGCTCTGCTAATTTACTTCCTGTTGTCTTCAGGGAGGCCAGTTCCTGGGGCACCTTCACCCTATCATCCTATCCTCTCCTTAAAATGTCTAGAGAATGTGACTGATTCCCAAGAGATGCTGGATATGGTAGCAAGCACATTCCATTCTTAGAGTCAAGAGTTCCTCCATGGACCTCATTTTCCACAGTGTAGACTCAGGACTTCTAGGACTGGGGGAAAGGGAGCAGCAATCTCAGGCCACACTCTTCCAAGGAGACAGATGCCACTCCATCATTAATGGTTACTATTTTTCTCTTCCCAGCCAAAGCTGGCAAAGTGTACGGCAGCTCCTGTGTGTAAACTCCTGTTGCCAAATCTGTGATGCTGCAACTCTGGAGATTCAGCAATTGCTGGAGAGTGAGAAAAGTCAGATCTCCTCTGCTTTACTGGGACTGTCACAGGGCTCTTCTTGCCTGGAGATGTTGTCCACATCAAGTGCATCTTTTGAGCAGAATATGGAGCTTTATTCCAGGCACCCCACAGACTTTTCAGTGGTACCTGTCACCGCAACGCTACCACAACCAACAGGACACTTGACACAGTCGACCAACGCAGTCAATGTCCAAAAAGACTGGGATGATCACCTCCAGTTAGGACCAGAACTGTCAGACATGCCCGTGGTCTCAGAGATTATGGCCTCTTCTAGGCCTGAGGAGCCTGCGTTTTTAGTGGTGGATGAGGAAATAATACAGAACAAACCAAAGCTTGACCAGGAAAACCAAGACCATCATCAGTTGAAATCTTCTGTCTCTTTACTATGCCTGAATCCAGAGATCACTAATTTGACACATACCATGTCCCTGCATATGAACTCAATCCTCCCTGCCCACCTGCCATTACTTAGTCCTAAAGCCCATAGGCTTCTTGAAGTTCATGTAAAAAAATGGATACATTTCCAGAAGTGGGGGCTCCCCAGGCGTGTGGAAGAGTCACTGAAGCAGCTTATGCCAGATCCAACATTATTTTGCCGATCAGGAAAAAATCAACTTTCTTCCATTCTGAACAAAACTACTAAGGTCACTATTGACAAAATCAAAACTGTTTCCCACCAGACCAAGAGTTCATGTTTGGCAGGCCAGCCTACCCAAACCTGCTGGGTTTCTGAATGGTCTCTTGAAAACATGGAACAGATAAATCATTGGCATCAAATCCAAACCTATAATGCCTTGGCCTCTCAAGAATTTGAACCCCCGTTAGCACAAGCTAATGACTCAGCAAGCAATTTTCAGAAGAAATATAACCAGTTATTCTGTGGCCTTCCTTCTCTGCACAGTGAGTCTCTGGATGCCACTTTCTTGAACTCAAACGGTCTCTCCAAGAACATGTCCAAGCCCACCTCAAAAGATCCTCTTCTCTTGAAGAAACCCTCACTCTTCTTCCTGTCCAAAACTCCACTGAAGTCAGCCCTACCCCCTTCCCCAACTTCTCCAAATGGCAAGTCTTCATATGAGTATGAAGGAGCCCAGGTCAGTGTCCCATTTCTGACACTGGATGAATGTGAAGCCTTGGAATGCCACCTCCTACAGAAGCAGGTCAAGCTTCAGTGGGGACCACCAGCTGTCTTCCTGAGATCTTGGTATACCCAGAGCCACTTGCAGTGTGAACCACATGACAAAGCCCAGACTCCTAAGACTGTGAAAACTTCCTGGCCAAGGATTCCCTTTTCACCCCTCACTAGAGAACTCTGCTTCCCAGAGCACACATGCAGGCTGCTGGAATTCCACCTCCAGAAGCAGTTGATTCACCTTCGCTGGGGCCTGCCCCAGAAGATCCAGCGGTCTATTCAGTTGTTCCTTTCCTCTACTGACCAGAAGCCCCCGCCCTGCAGCAACAGAGCCCTACCCAATGTGAGCATCTCACAGCCAGAGGGCCTAAAGGCTGTTGGGTCTGGTACCATGTTCTCACCCACAGTGAGCAAAGGGTTAATCCCCATGCCACAGATGTTTGCTCAGTCAAAGGCAATACTGCAGAGTCACATTGACTCCAAATGTAAACAGGTCCACCAGGGCAAGGTTCCTGCCCACATCTGTAGCTCCTGGGAATGCAGAATTCCTGGGGGCTCAGCAGAAGGGAGTCCCTTCCCATGTATTTCACAGGGCGAGCCCCTGAAGCTGCAGGCAGAAAGCAACCTTAACCTACATGACAAAGGCACGCCCTGGATACCAAAGGCCCTTGACCAGGAGAAGAAAGCCGTCCCACATGCTTTCATTGAACACTGCAAGCGGCCCCAATCCTTATCTAAGGATATCATTAAGAAACTGGAGACAATTTTACAGCATAAGTATCTGGCTTTCTTGTCAGGCCTACCTTCTCTTTACTGTGTGGCTCTCTCAAGGCCCACATCTCTAGCAGTCACTAACCGATCCAGAATCCCAGAGATGTTGCTACCTAAGCCTAGCAAAGTCCTGCAAGAACCTCTGACTCAGACGATTTCACTTGAAAGCCCATGCAAGAGGCTCAAGTCATGCACTGACGATGACAACAAGGATTCTGTAGACACTGCAGAAAAGCTCCAGCCTGAATTGCAGGTGAAAGGAATGATGGAGCGGACACGTCCACACAGCACTAACCCCTACTCAAACACACATATCTTGGCCAAACTGAATTTCCACATGAAAAAGAAGGTCCTAGCAATGCAATTCGGAATTTCTGAAAAGGAAAATCAGTTCAAAGAGGAAACTGTAATAGGCCCCAAGAATCAATCCAAACAGAAGTCTCTTAAGAGTCTAAACAACCAAGAAAGCACAGTGCTACAGAAACCGCCCATCTCAAGAAAAGAGGATGCAGATCTTGGGCTTTCCCAAACCAATGGAAAAGGACACCATACTGGACAGCAGAGTCCAGAAAGGAAGTCTCCAAACAACATACCCCAAGACTCTCCTCCTACCCAAGATTTAAATTGTGTTCATGGTCAAGAGCAGGCTACCGAGTTACAGGCTGTGTACCACAACCAAAAGCAACCTGACTCTGCCCAATGGGCCTCCAAGATCTCACAATTCAGCAGGGATTTGACAGAAGCCCAAATGCTTTGTGTTGATGTGGAGGCCAGTGACGAAAACTCCAACCTAGAGGAACTCCATAGCACTGAGCCTCAAGGCCCAGACAAGAGAAAGTACTCAGCCCATGTCCCCACACTGACCAAAAAGAGAGAGGACCCAGGGAAATCCAAAGTAGCAGAGAACATTGGAGAAGAGGATGCAGGTCTTGTGCTTTCCCAAACCAATGGAGAAGGACACCATACTGGGGAGCAGAGTCCAGAAAAGAAGTTTCCAAACAACAAACCCCAAGGCTCCCAGAAACAGAAGCCTAGCTTTCATTCTGTGGCTCCCTGCCCATGGAGCCCCCAGCATCCCCCGCAGCCTAAATTCCAAAACCCACATCCAAATATTTTGGGCAGGAAAGACTCTGAACATGACCTGCCAGTCAGTGAAAGCAAGGTAAATGTCATCCTCAAACCTTCAAGGACTCCTGGGATTGTCCAGCCTACAGTCTACCAGGCTTCCCAGGGCCATCCCTTCCTGGGCCCACCAAGTAGCCAAACTTTGCAACACCAAGTTTTGAAAAGGCCAGTGATACCAGCTTCCCCTCACAAAAAGCCCAACTTTCCGGAGTCCAGCTGGAGAAGTAAGATGAAATCGTTTCTTTATTCTATTAGCCCAAAAATGAAAGGCAAAACACACACGGAGACCATGTTTTCTACAGTCGGAAAAGTGACCAAAACCACTAAAGAAAATTTTGAAAAGAATCTGACTCAAGCTAAAAGTTCCACCAAGGAAACTGAAACAGAAATCTCAAGAGGGCCCAAACCCCAGTCTGTGCCCCCTGACAAGCCAGTGGGCACTCCAGAAAAGCTCCGACTACGCTCTCGACAGCAGGGCTCTGCTTCAGGGCCCGGAAATGCCCGTCATTGCCCTCGGCACTGTCCTCAATTGGCTCATGCAGCCCAACATGGAAACCCAGCTTAGCTCCCAATGTTCAGAAACCTCGTCCTGCTAATGGAGAACACAGGGCGATGACAGTCTCTAGGCTCCCCAACTGCTGTACCCCTTTAAGAGCACTATTATTCTCATTTTCTTTAATGAACAGGTGGGGCTGAGTACCACCCAAAATATATTCGGCATCTCTAAGCAAAGAGTTGTCTTTTGTCTCTGCTCCACTTTATTAAGGGAAGATATGAACGAAGCTAGAGTCCTCCCCATCTAGGGAAAGAGAGTTAAACCCACATTTCAGATAAGTCAGTTTTCCATCTTCCCTACCCGACCATGGAATGTGGATAAAGAGAGCAGAAAGGAAGTCACTTATGTAATATACGTTAGAGGTAAAGGTCAGGCTTGAATTTGAACATCACCTGCACCAAACTATTGGCATATCTCATATCCCAGAGCCAAAGATAAGGTGACAAAGGGAAAATTCTGAGATGTTCTCAACTTAATTACAAAGGCCAGATGCTGGAGTGAGGAAGAAATAAGGGCAAGTAATTAACAAACTCAGAAAACTAACAAAGGGATTGCTTCGGTTGTTTATGAACCTTGACTTCAGTCTCATCACCACCAGGACCACCATGCCCTGTGTATGTATAAGTTTCCAGATGGTTAGCTTCAGTCAATCCGGAAGAAACACGCTCCTCTTAATATAATGTAGACTCTCCCCCTTTCCGAAAACATGGCCTGCTCACCAGCATCCTGCTCCTCTCTGCTATAGCCATCAATGGACACAATTCTTTCCCCAAAGTTTATTAAAATGTAGTTGTACTTAGATCTGAAATGAATGTTTCAAACTGCTACCTGCCCCCACTGTTGCTGCTACTAAAGCCTTGAAACTTGTCCCAAGAACAGGCTCCTTGTTCTGGCTAGTATCTGTAATGGCTCCATAAAACATTTTATTTCAGAGACCCCTTAGTCTCTAGTTTGAGGTTGTCAGTTGCTAGAGCAAAAAGTACATTGATCATAGTTGCATCCATAGTCTAGACAAAGCATCGCTTCACTGTCATTGATGCTGTGACGCACGGGGTCCTGATGCAAGAAGTATCAAAAATTGTTACAATAAAAATGACCTTCAGAAGGATCTTGTATTCAACAATTAAATATTTGAGTACTTAATTGTGACAGGGATTATACTAAGCATAATAGGGAACAAGACATAAGCCTTGCCACAGTAGAGCTTCTAAGCTCATAAAGTAGATACTCTCACATACCCAAACTATCTAATCAACATATATACTTGAGGGTCAGGCATGGTGGCACACACCTTTAAACCCAGTACTCAGGAGGCAGAGGCAGATAGATCTACCTTAGTAAGTTCAGAGCCAGTCTGGTCTATATAACAAGTTTCAGCCAGGGCTACAAAGACTGTCTTAAACACACACACACACACACACACACACACACGCACGCACGCACGCACACACACGCACGCCCAATATTCACCTCAAACTATGCAAAGATGAATTCCTGAATCACCCCCCTATCACTCACCTATAACAGGACAGCTCCAGTGAGTATTTCTCATAACAGTTGATGGCAGCTCCACGTTTCCAGTTGCTTAGCCATAAACAATGGTCTCATCCTTGACTTTTTCACGTACAAGTCCATATCCAATCCATCAGCCCTACTACTGTTTCTACCATCAAAACTACATGGGACAGGGGCTGGAGAGATGACTCAGCAGTTAGAGCATTGACTGCTGTCACAGAGGACCAAGGTTCAATTCCCAACACCCACATGGCTGCTAACAACCATCTGTAACTCCAGTTCCAGGGATCCAACACCCTCTTCTGACCTCTGCCTGCATTGCATGACACAGGTGCACTAAAACACATGCAGGGAATATGCGCATACACATAAAATAAAAATGAAATATTTTTAAAAATACATACATGGGCTGGGGGGTGGCACACGCCTTTAATCCCAGCACTTGGGAGGCAGAGGCAGGCGGATCTCTGTGAATTCAAGGCCAGCCTGGTCTACATAGTGAGTTCCAGGACAGCTGGAGCTACAGGGAGACCCTGTCTCAAAAAGACCAAAAAAAAAAAAAAATACATACATGGATTGGAGAGATGGCTCAGCAGTTACAAGCACTGGTGGTTCTTGCAGAGGACCTGGGTTCAGTTCCCAGCACTTACATGGCTGCTCACAACTGTCTGAACTCCAGTACCAGGAGATCTGACTCCCTCTTCTGGCCTCCATGGGCATTTCACACATGAGTGCACTTACATCCATGCAGGCAAAACACTCATATGCATCAATTAAATTTTTTTAAATGCATGCAGACTATGACTACTTGCCCGTGCCCTCTACTGCTGTCCTCACTGTATAGCATCTGTACTAATCTCTGTTTCACTCTAAGACCACGACCCCAACAGACTGTCCTCAGCACAGAAATATGATGTCCTGAAGTGTTCTGGAAATATATGATAGATAGATGATAGATAGGTAGGTAGGTAGATAGATAGATAGATAGATAGATGATAGATAAATAGATGATAGATAGATAGATAGATAGACAGATAGATGCCAACACTGCAGCCCCTCATTTTCTACTTTTATTCATGCTTTTAAAACATTTTTTCCTTAAACCAGAGAAAGCGGTAACTTTTAAATTTTTCTGAGGATTGCTTTGTATCCTTAAACACTATCTATCTATCTATGATGATAGATGATGATTGATAGATAGACAGATAGATAGATATAGATAGATAGTAGGTAGAATAGATGTATATTAATCTGCTACCAGTTTTTGCCCCAAAACTAGATTCTTTTTTTCCTCTCAGAATTTTGGAACCAATAACAAGACTGAGTGTCATTTGAACAGTGAGGGAAAGTTTTGTTATTGGCCCAGAATAGAAGGGGAGATAAAAATCACAATCTTCCCAATGCTTGGGGAATCAGGATGTTGCAGACACAGAGTAAAAGAAAGGGCTGTTAAAGAGGAGAAATACTCTATCTTCTGCAGAAATTACGAGAGGTTTTCCTGGAATTCCAACATCATCTCTTTTCTTTCTTTTTTATGGTGGTTTCCAATTATCACATGACAATTGTCAATTGTCATGGCACTGAAAGGTGTGTCAGTTAACATGCCAATGAGGCCATACCGAAAATAAGTAGCACTTGTGCCAAATCTACACAAATAAGACCCTGAGCCTTTTGGGCCTCTGCCTCCTCCAGAAGGAAATGTTTCATTTCAGAGGAAATAGACACACAGCAGGCATGCACCACCACACCCAGTTCTATTTCCTTTTAAAACCTTTAGTTTTATGCTATGTCTTTATTTTGGAAGCATAGTAATCTTTAGGACAGAAATTCATCCTTTTAGACATTTATTTTTTAAATTTTTTATTACAATTTTATTTAATGTGTATGTATGCATACGTGTGTGCCCAGTAGGGTCACAACATACATGTGGAGGTCTGAAGACAACTTGCATGTCAATTCCTCTCCTTCCACCAGTGGATCCCAGGGATGGCACTCAGGTTGCCAGACTCAGCAGCAGGTGCCTTGACACACTAAATCGTCTCACCAGTCTAGACATTTTCAAACTCTTATTTCATTTTATTTTATTTTAGTGACAGGCTCTTGCTATGTAATTCAGGCTGGCTTTGAATTCACATCCTTCTGCCTCAACCTCTAGAGTGCTGGGATTACAGATGTGCACCACTCTGGACAGAATTGAATCAGCTATGGACATCATTTTTAGTGGGCTTAATTTGACCCTACTTTGGGTCATCGTAATATAAGGCAGGAGAAAAGACAGAGTCTTATCCAAGGTAAGGCTAGCCTCTGACAGATGTCAGCTAAAGTTTTCACATTGCTATCTTTTAAATTAATTGATCTCTCTCATCTTTTAAAACACATTTAAATTTTACCCCATAACTTACAGATAATGGGTTATTTTTACCCAATTATAAATATTAAACAACAAATCCCCACCGAAGGTCATATTTGTTTATAGAGGTACTCCCAGATGTTCCAGTTATCAGAATGGTATTGAGTGCATAGCATTTAGGCACATCTAATTATCATTGTTTAAAAATGATGATGAGGATAAGATAGAGCTTGGTTGGCCAAGTGCTTATCTAGCCTGCATGAGGCCCTAGGTTCAGTTTCCATCATGCACCTGCACACACACATGCACGCACGCACACGCACAATAAAAGAAATTATTTATATTTTACGTGTATGAGTGTATTGTCTGCATGTAAGTGCACTTTTGTCATGCAGTGCCCACAGAGGTCAGAAGGGGGTGTCAATTCCCCTGGAATTGGAGTTACAAAGGGTTGTTAGCCACCATGTGGGTGCTGGGAATCAAACCCAGGTCCTCTGCAAGAGCAACCAGTGCTCCTAACTGCTGAACCATCTCTCTAGTGCAACACGCAATAAAATTTTAAAGAGAATCATAATTGTGAACACACAAACTTAAGTTTGAAAAGGCTATTATTATAATTTACTTTCCTAAGCTTATGTTTTATGAGGCTTGGAGACCATAAGTATAGTTAACACAAAAAGGATCTAGTAATAATAAGCATCACAGCTATACAGAAGTCTTTCATAAACTTAGCTTTTAACTTTAATGTGAAATTTAGAATTTCCAGCACAGTAGGACAAATATAATTAGGTGATTTTGTGTTTGACAGGTCTACACAGATTAGCTTTAGAGAGTTTATAAGTGTAGGAGAGAGTATTAATGATCATAGTGAATTTATAATTTGATGTACAACTTCATCTTATACGTACAATAGCAAAAGTGCTTATTTAGTTAAACAGATGAAGACTGGGTTTTAAATAGCAATATTTCCCAAATGATGTTGTACTCTTTGAGGTTTTATTTGTTGTTTGTTTGTTTGTTTGTTTGTTTTGAGACAGGGTCTCCTTGGAGCCACAGCTGGCCTAGAACTTGCTATATAGACCATACTGGCCTCAATTTCACAAAGATCTGCCTACCTCTGCCTCCTGAGTGCTAGGACTAAGCG